TTGAGGTGCTCTAAATCGTGCTAGCCAAGTCGGGTTTTAGAGCAATTTCTTCATACTTCGCTTAGGTAGTAATTGGCATCAAATGGCCTACAATGTTCATTGATTCTTATTGATGGTTTATTTTGATTAATTAATGCGTTTGATGCATATGTTTCCTATTTCAAAAATTTTCGAAACTCTCTTGTTTTTCTCAAATCGACTGAGCTACAAGTTAAATAAATTTTTCACGATGGCACAATGTTCTTCGTCTTGATGAGATGAATCGAATGGCACTAGTCTGAACCTCTAATTTTTCCGTTCAAGAGACCTGTAAATCGCGTGTTTCGATTGAATTTGTCAACTATCTAAAGCTTAAAGAAAATGACAGGGACGTATTCAACCAATCAGAGCCCCACGCGTGGCTTGTTTTATCTAATTTTTAAAATAATGGATTATGTGTGTTATTCACTAATGACCATGATATGCATAATATGTCAGATCCCTTGGATTTAATTACTAATGTGTTTTTACATTGATCTAATGGTCTACATCATTTTGGCTTTATTTTTATTTTCTGATTTTATATTTTAATTGTTTTAAAATTCAAAAATTCATAACATATTCATTTCAACTTCTAAAAATATAAAAAAAATTCTAAAAAATACTTTTGATTTTTCTCTTTTTGATTTTTATTTTTTCACAATTTTATTTTATGATTTGGTATTTTTTATGATTTTTCACTTTATTTGAGTTGTTTTGATTGTTTAAAACTATTTTCCTTGATTTTTAAATTATGAAAAAATTATGGAAGGATCCAATGACCTTTTGATAAATATTTGTGACCTCATTTTATTTTTATTTCTGATTTTACTATTTTTCATAAATTTTAGTTTATTTTGCTTATTTCTTTAAATTTTAAAAATAGTTTCTAACTTAAAAAAATTCTAAAAAGTTTTGTGAACACTTATTGACTCATCTTTGACCTCTGATATTTTTTTAGGATTTTTATTTGATGATTTAATACATGTTGTGTATTTTGTCAATTATTCTTTTTTTAATCATTTAAATATTGTTTTATTGAATATATTTTATTATTTTTGTTTGGACCTGACTTGAGTATTATTTTGGGACAAGTTCCTCAACCTCATTGGATCTTGGGTGTTGATAGGTTGAAAAACTAAATCCACCAAAATGGATGAATGATGTTGATGATATTTGAAACCTTAATTTCATCTGATACATACCATCCCTTTTTATATTATCTCTTTCTTGTTTTTACTTGTACTACATGTTGTTGGAGAATAATTTATATATCATTTCTCTAACATATTGGTACATAGATTGCTATTGATCGGCCTAAGAGTCGGTGCGACTTCTAAATAAGTCCACTTACGATTTCTTAACATAACGCTAAATTTGTCCCGATTCAAAAAATAATCATTCGTGACCCAAACTTATGTTTGGAAGCCCAAGTATGTTTAATTTGAAACCTTTGATTCAATAACTTTGAAGTTCATTGTTAGGAGGCTTTGATCTTATCAATCCTTTAATGAGCTTCATGAACTTTGGTCTAAGTGAATCATTTGAACATCGTTAATCATATGTGGTTGTCTTAAGTACTTGAAATGAATGATATACTTGACAAAAAGCAAATGAGACTTGTTGTTGAGAAGCTTTGATTTTGTCAATCTTCTAATGACTTCTCAAATGCAAGCTTCAAGATGGTCATTCAACTAACCTCAAACTTCTAATTCACTAACAATTTACTTCACTTTATGTTTTTACTTTATGCCTTTTATTTTACGCCTTCACTTTTATGTACCATTTATTTTAGCATTTACATTCCATGTCATTTTTATCTTTGATCACTTGAGCATTTATCTTTATGTCATTTTATCTTTTCTCATTTGAGATTTTCTTTTCTTTTTTAAGACACTTAATAACCAACTTGAACAATAAAAAATTTAAAGTTACTTCGACTACTTGGTTACTATTCTTGGCATTGTGGAGTTGTGGACCTCTCGAACATAGGATTAGAAGCCTTGATACTTGGAACCTTGTGGCTCTGTTGTTATTTTGTATGAAGTTCTTGGGGTTTACTCCAAGGTATTGGTTTTTTTCTTCTTGGTGTGCAAGTAATTTCAATTACATGCTTTGTCTGTGATTTAGAATTCCTCTGTATACAACCGTTACTTTGCCCAATTTTTCTGAAGACGTAATTCATCCAAATCTTGGTATTTCTCAGAGGATTATTATTTTTGCTTGCTTGGTTTCAATCCAAATGATGGGAATTCTATATTGACTTCTTATGTCAAGTGTTGGCTTCTTGTTGATTAGATCGTTCTTTTCCTTGGCTTTTACCTTACACTTTAGAATAGTCCATTCATCTCCTCCCATCTTCTTTAATTTAAAAATCGTCTCCCTCCTTTTCAAAACTCTTCTTGTTTTCTAACTTGAACCGCTTTTATAATAAACTTGGACTTAGGTCCATGCATTTTCAAAAATATTTTCTTAATCATACTTTGACATTTTTGTGAAAAGACCAAAAGGAAATTAACCTCATTCTAACTATTTTGCCACTTTGGCTTTTTACTTTTAAGCTTTTCTCAAAAGATTAGACTATTGTCGATTCTTGTAGTGATGCGAGCTATTATACTTCTATGATATGTAGTAAAGTGAGATATTTTCCACTTAGTTTTTTAGTGAGTATTTGTTGATTTTAAAATCTAAGCTATATTCTCCACTTTGAGATGATAAAGATTCTCATTTCTCATAATTATGGGTAGTAAGTATGCCTTCCACTCAGATATAACGATGATGTCTCTTCTCTTAAAATTAACCAACGCACATGTGTTTTAAAACTTTTAAGGTAAACTACGAGTACCCTGATCCCTTATTGCAAGGAAGGTGATACATAGGAACTAAAGATTCACAATCGCGACGGGTGCGAAATTGTAAAAAAAATACTTCTTTTCTCATCTCCACCATCTATTTTTGTATACACCTTTTATATCCAAAATACACAAATTTTCAAAGAGGTTCCTGCGGAGTACCATAGATGTTTAGGGTGATAAAACCTTCCCTTTGCATAACCAACCTCCGTACCTAGATTCTCTCCCCCTCTTTTGGATTTACTCTCTCTTTTCCCATTTCCTTTGAAAATAATAAAGAGTGGTGACGATTTTTATTTGATTTGTGCGAGTCAAGTCAATTCAATGGCTCAGTCTCAATATTTCTACCGCTATAGAAAAAAATTACGACTCTGCTGGGGAAGTAAGAAATCTCTAAGTGGGTTGAGCCTATCTTTGTTTACATGTTTATGTGTTATATCTGTTGTATATTTGTATATATGTACGTCTAGATTTTTCTAGTTTTTCAGGGTGCTTGGTGATTTCTTATAAGTCCTCTACCAGGACTTGGGCAAACGTAAGATAGGATGGATGGTATAGTTATGTTAACTTTCAGGGAGGAATCCCAAAAATGGAGACATGAGATCCCCCACTCAGTGGATGCCCCTTTGACTGTAATATTTATTTACCAACCAATCAGGAAGACATATTGCTTTCAACCTGGGAGCCTGCTGAAGTTAAGGACCGTAGAACCCTTAATCCATCTTGGCCTTTTATGTTTAGTGTGGAGACTATGACAGAGCAATCCGGAAGTGGTTGTCACGCGATGCTACACTCAAACGAGTTTTTCCTAAGAATATTACTAATTATCGAGCTAATCAGGACGTTGGTAATATCCGAAGGAAGGATGTAGACTCTGTGAACCTTTTAGGACCTTATTCGGCAAGTGATAAACTATTATTCCTTACCTTGGGGGTGTTATACCTCAATTTTCCCTCTAAGATCCCTCGTCACATCATAAATATCTCATGCGTATCATCGATTCCATGGTTACGGGATCAAAGGGCTCTTGGCATTAGAGTTTTTTCTCTATGAATTGAGGTTGCTACCTTATTCAAAACTGATTCAACGGATGCTCTCATTATTTTCGGTGTGAAACTGGGGTTTTGGATCACAAACATCACAAGCAATTTTCTTGGCAAATGTCCTCAAGATACAAGTTTGTCTTCATCAAAAATTCCTCAAATAACAAGTGCATTATTATGGTTCATCATGTGTGCTCAAGATTTTATCTTGATTTAAATTGAGGGTTCTTGAGCTAGAGTTTTACTTCTCTCTGCGTCTCAAGCCTTCTCCATGAATATGCACTCAAGATCTAGAAATTTAGAGGGTTTCTCCTATGAAGGTGCTTGGACATTAGTGTTGGTTATTCAAAATGGTTCATTGAGATCAGTTTCTCCTCAAGGCTACTAAGGATCATCATTCTTTCTTTATTGCAAGTTCATCAATCATGTAGAGTTTCCCTTAATTACTTGCTCTACGAGTCATTTCTTTTTAAGAAGTCTAAAAGATTGAACCATGGTTCTCTTCATGTGGTGAGACTTGCCAAATGATTATGTGTGGCTTTGGATTTTCAGCACGATATTTTGTTTACTAAAGAGCGAGTATACAACATGGTTAGAGTTTGGGGATTCTTTATGATCAAGGCCTTGTTATCTTTTCAATTTCTTGATTGTTTGCAAGCTAACTTGGATTTGAAGATTGAAGTAGAGAATGAATTCATTATTGTGAAGCGTTTCCTTTAGGATCGATTCAAGAGAATTCATGATTGTGATTTGTATTTAATTCAAAGTCTTTAATTCAAACTCATTTCAATTTTCTCAATAATTGATTCAAAAAGTTTAGGCTCACTCATAGGATTTGTTTGGAACTCAAGACACATCAATCCTGTACAAGAATTTCAAAGTCTAAATGATTCAAGAATTCATGTTTCTTTGAATTTAAGGCCTTATCCAAAGTTTAAACTTCTACAAAAATTGTTCAAGATTTATTCCTACTTCAAAGTTCAAGTTCATTTTCACAGTTTCAAGTTCATTTTCATAAGTCACTATTCAATCAGTAGTTTTTAATATCCATATTATGTTCATCAAGAATCACGTAAGTTCAATTTCAAGTTTACAATTCAACGTGTACATCAAATATCCAATTCATTACATATGAGTTCCCATTACAATATGATTCATTACCAAAATACATGCTAAAATTCCAAGGCCTCATTCAAGATATCGAATTTCCTTTTGAAAAAAATAAAAATCCTACTGTACTAGAGATTTACGTGACTATATGTTTCGATGAGGACACAACATTTAGTTCTCCCAACACATAACTTCTTCCAGATTCTGATGCAAGACCAATAGAGGTTGGTCCAAGTTTCCATACAGAGTCATATGCTACCGATCATAGTGGTGATGGTAACATACATAACTTTGTGGATCCCATTACATAACAGACAATACATGCGGATAATACTACTCGTGATCCCGTTACAGAACATACATAATTTGTACCTGATGCGAGGTCGGCGAAGCACCTGACAGTTCTTCCGATAGGTAATCTTTGGTTTTTGTTTTGCGATTTCATGGTGTTGTTGAGGCTTTAGTTGTATATAGATTGAATTGGTGATGGTGAGCGATCTAAGATGTTAAACGAATCGACGGTCGCGAACTGAGACAACGCTGCGAATTGAAAGCTTTGAGACAAAGAGATCGAAGGAGAAGATCGTTGATGTAACATGGAGGATGAGATAAGAGGATATAAGTAGAAATCTCCGGTGAAGAGGGAATGGCGAGATCCGCGTGGCGGATCAGAACTCAGTAAAAGAGGATTTCATTTTTGATGAAGCAATATACCCCTGAAATCAGTTTTCCCCACCCCCATGACTTTTCTAATTTCTTTTTTTGATTTAGTTTTTTTGTTGGTTTTATTTTTCTTCCAACTTTCATAATGAAAAATTAGTGATGAAAAACTATAAAAATAAATTTAAAAAAATTGTTAGACTTCTTATTTGATTTTAGGAATTAATTCATGATTATTCGATTACTTGAGACTTGTGATTCACTTTTTCTTGTCGAGATTTGAGTCTTACGCAGGTTTAGTGTGTGACATGTAGACATGCTTGAGTTTCCGATTGTGTTTTATTTTCACATCGATGATGTTTCGACACTTATTCTGAGCATTTGATCTCTGACTGTTTGTTTCATGATGCTAGCTCGCGTGAAGTATTCTGGATTTCTTTGCTTAGGTGGCGCTTTTTGTGGACATTATTGTTTGTTTGGTATTATACTGCTTCCAATTTATCTTTCCGCATTTTATTACTTTCTAGATATCACGAGAAGTAGGAAATAAAGAGTGTGCGCTCCAAGTCGTTGTTTAAAGACTCTAGCAGGCATTCCACACTTGTTTGCTTATTGTGTTTGTGTTTGTTTTCATGGGTTGACAATCAGTGATGTCACTCAATTAGAATTGAGATAACGACTTCGATCTTTGCATGCTCCCCTTAGGATTTTAATTTTCCTTTGTTGATGATCTATGTTGTCACTCAATTAGAATTGAGATAGCGACTTCGATCTTTGCATGCTCCCTTTAGGATTTTTATTTTCCTTTGTTGACCATCGATGATGTCACTCAGTTCGGATTGATATAACGACTTATATCTTTGCATGTTTCCTTAGGGTCGCTCGATTAGGGTAGCTTTTGAGCTAGACATCAGGATAGTTATCCATGCATGCTAACATAGGGTATAAATTTCCCTTTCCATCATCGATATAAGGCTATCGTTATATGATAACACTAGGTTAGAGATAGGTTAATCTCCCTTATGTGTTTTCTTCCCATTTTGCATAATTGCATTTAAAACAAAAACTTATTTTTCTTGTCAAATGTATAAAACATACTAACCACACAAAAATCCTTTTCATGGTAAAAAATACCAACTAATTCATTTGTTTTCGCCATTTGAATTTTCTCTTCTAAGAACATGTTGATTCCTTTCCACTATAGTGCGTGAGTCTCCAATGGTCGAGCGGCAGTGGAATGATTAAATTTAACATTGTTCATTTAAAAAATACAAACATAAATAAAAAAATTTAAGCTGAACTACGGTGCTCTGATTCCTTAAAAGGGATACGTAGGAATCTGGTCATGGGGCTCAGCCGAGCAAAAATTTGTAAATAATTCCTTCTTTTCCCCGTGTTTTCTTTGCATGCATTCCCTCTTAGCATTTTTTTATTTTAGCTCTTAAGCATTAGATTAAACACACCCTTTGATTAGAACAAGAAGAGTGGATCCCGTAGAGTACTATGGACGTAATGGGTGCTAATACCTTCCCCTCGCATAATCGACTCCCGTACTCGATCTCTCGGTCGCAAGACCTTGATTTCTACCTTCAGTTTTTTTCCTGATGATTTTCCTTTCCCTTTATATGGGATAAATAAATACTCGATGGCGACTTCATTGATTTTCACTGCTACAGTGGGTAGTACCTTTGACTTCATGCTCGTGACGTCGAACCTATAAACCCCCATGTTTGTGATCTTGTGTGTGATTGTTGCATCATGAATTCATGCACCCATGAGTATTCTTTAAAACAGTTGATTCAAGGAACTTAAGGTTGACGTTTGCAAATATCTGTGGTACATTTTTACCATGGATTTTGGAAAGGGAAAGACTCGAAAGTACAGTTTCAAGGATCCTAAGATAGAGGAACTGATGAGTTTGATTCCTGAGATTGAGAGTTCTACGGATTTCCGGAAGAAGTATGGAGCCATTGTGCCTCTTATGAAGCTCAAGATGAAGGAGGGTATTCTTTCTACATTGCTCCGGTTCTATGATTTGCTGTGCATGTGTTTTACTTTTCCTGATTATCAATTGATGCCCATATTGCAGGAGTATTCTTACTTACTCAGTTTACATGTTACTGATTGTGTTCCTTTAATCGGCTTAGAGAGAGAACCTAAATCTCATGAGATTGCTATGATGACTCACTTGAAGAAGTGTGAAATTGAGGCTAACATGACTACCAAAGGAGGAATCAGAGGTTTACATGCTCAGTTTCTATTGGAGAAAGCTTTTTACTTCGCCAAAATGAAGAGTACAACTAATTCCGAGGCCATCTTTGCTTTTCTTGCCTATGGGTTGTTCCTGTTTCATAACATCGACAAATTTATGGATGTTAATTCCATTAGGATCTTTCTGATTGGGAAACCCATTCCCTACACTACTAAAAGGTACTTATTATTCCATCCATCTATGGGATTTCTTTCAGGGAGGGATGGTCATCTTTTGCACATCGATGTTATATCAGTGGTTTATTTCTCACTTACCTTGGTCTGTTTCTTTTTGGGATATCAAGAAGGAACCACTGTGGGCCCTAAAGATTATGGCTCTTGCTCATTATGACATTGATTGGTATCATCAATATTATGATGATGTGGAGATTATTGATAGTTGTGGTAGTTTCCGCGATGTGTCTCTTCTTGGTACAAAGGGAGGAATTAACTATAATCCTATTCTTGTGTGTCGCCAACTTGGATATTCAGTGAGAGATAAGCCAAACATCATTCATCTGAGTGTTTTCTTTCTCAAAGAAGGAGAAGATCACAAGGCAACTAAAGAAGAGATTGAAAAGGCTTGGCACCATATTCATAAAAAGGGTAGAAAATACTTGGGACCAAGAGGAGTTATTTCCTTAGAGCGTCATCTTCGTTGGGTACAAGCAAGGGAAATTCAGTTGAAGATGCCACATTCTCGTGAAGAACCTATATCTGATATGTTTATGAGGATTACTCCTCCTCTCTTAGATGATGTGGAAGAACTTCAGCTTTCCTTGGTTAGGATGCAGTAAGAAAAGGAAGCATGGAAGAACAAGTACCAAACATTGGAGGCATCTTACTCAACAAAATTAAAAGTGAAAAATGACTTGATAGAGATTCTTGAGAGTCATGCTGTGGAGAAGATGGAAAAGCGAGAGGATTTATTTTCCTCTAGAGTTCATCTCGGTCCCGGTCACCCATTTTCTGATTCTGGTGGATGGAAAGAAGTCGCAAACAAGTATGCAAAAGAGAATAGGTAGTTTAAAGCTCATATTGCAAGACTCAAGGGAAAGCGTCAATGTGTGGAGAGATCTTCATCAGCTTTGGCTCCTTAGGATTATATCTTTATTCTCTTGTAGTTAGGATTTTTGAAATTGATACTAAAAGTTATAATCCATTCCAAAATTATTATTAAAATGAGAATTTTGAGTATTTCCAAATGTGTTAGTACTTCAATATTTGCAATTGTTTATGATTCTTTGAGTTCCATGAATAAACACAATAAAGCATATGCATTGCATATCATGCATCATTTTGCACATATTTTTGCATTCCTGTTCATTCCAAAGTGTCTTACTTATTTCTCTATTTCAACAGTCAGCAAGCTATCTCATCACTACAATACTCGAGCTGATCCTAGAAAGAAGATGGAAAATATTGAACAAGAAAATCGTGATCTGCGTGAAGAATTTACTTCTTTAAGATCTGGTATGGCCAACCTGACTGCTTTGGTGGAATTGTTGATGGTTGCTCAGAGTCATCCACCAACTCTTCCTCTGCCTCCTTGTGCTACTCAACCATAGCAGACAATCGTTATTTCCAAGGTTCTGTCAGTTCTTGTCTCTGTTACTCCAGTTACTATTGCTTAATACCGTATGTCTCAAGGTTACCCGTGGGGAGTGCCTGATAATTTCATGCCAGAAGGTTACTATCCTGCTGCTCAAGTTGCTCAATTTTCTCAAATTACTATTGTTTCTGCACCTCTTGTGGTGCACGTTACTCCCGTTGCTAATAACGAGATTCATCATGTTGCACCTCCTACGGTGAATGTTATGCCTGTTATTAATGATGAAGTTTATCATCCTGCTCCTCCACCAAGTCAAAGTTTGGGTTTCTATGACCGAATGGATGACTTTCCAGATCAATTCAATGAAATACAAAAGTAAGTGAAGGCTCTCTGAGGGAAAGATTAATTCGGACAGAATGTTAGTGACCTATGCTTAGTTCCTAATGTGAAAGTTCCAGCAAAGTTTAAAGTACCATAGTTTGAAAAGTACAAGGGCAACTCTTGTCCCCGTGACCATTTGGTGATGTATATCAAAAGAATGCCCACTCATACAGATGACCAACACTTGCTTATTCATTTCTTCCAGGATAGTTTAACTGGTGTTGCCTTGAAATGGTATATGGTATTAGACAGTAGCAACATTCGCACCTTCAACGACTTGGGTGAAGCTTTCATGAAATAGTATAAGTACAACAAGTTTATGGCACCTGACCATGACCAGCTGAGAGCAATGGCTCAGAAGGATAAGGAGTCATTAAAATATTATGCGCAACGTTGGCGTGAAGTTGCTTACCAAGTGGTACCCCCAATGGGAGAGAAATAAATGACTAAGGTCTTCCCAAAAATCCTTGGTTCATTTTATTATGAAAGAATGGTGGCGAGTGCGCCAAGTGATTTCATTGAGATGGTAAGTGTGGATGTTCGTCTAGAGGAAGCTGTCAAGGAAGGACGATTGACAAAATATGAAGGTTCTAGTGGAACAA